GTCGAACAACCCTTTCACAGGGGTTGCCTAAGACCATTGGAAAACACATATATAATTACATATTGTTTTTGTGATTAATCACTATGCTTTAATTATATTCAATTTGTAACAATGAAATTAGGGGTCACAACATGAAGAACTGTATTAAAGGGTCGCATCATTAGGAAGATTGAGAACCACTGCCTTAGACTGTTTCAAAGAATCCTGGCAGGTACCCAGTGACAGCACCCAGTAAGATTTAGGAGCCATTGGGGTCCCACATACATTGACCATTCTGGATGATCGCATACAAAAGTCATTTCTGATCTCCGTTCTCTTCCCCTAGAGGGCCTAGTATCCCTTACTCAATAGCCCAATGTGCCTTCTTCACAGCCCTCACAGCCATAGAGACAAAAGGACAATCTTTGTGCTCTCTCCAGTGACTCTCTGCTCTTTCCATCCAACCTGGGAACTGTTTTACTCACTGTTCCAGTATCAGAATGAGGAGTCTGTTGCATTAGAAGACTGGGTTTCCCATATGAGGAGTACATTTATCAGGTTTATCATGAGATGATCAGCTAGAGATTCACTTCCCAGAATCTGGGTCCAGGATCAAGGAGATGGCTGCTATGCTCTGACTGCCTTCTTCAATTCAGCCTGGAACTATGTGTTATGTGACCAACTAACTGTCCTCCCTAACTGGAGGCTGTGATTTGTCTAGAGCAGTGGTTCTCAACCTTCCTAATGCCGCGACCCTTTAATACAGTTCCTCATGTTGTGGTGACCCCAACCATGAAATGATTTTCGTTGCTACTTCATAACTGTAATTTTGCTACTGTTATGAATCGTAATGTAAATATCTGATCTGCAGGATGTATTTTCATTGTTACAAATTGAACATAATTAAAGCATAGTGATTAATCACAAAAACAATATGTAATTATATGTGTGTTTTCCGACGGTCTTAGGTGACCCCTGTGAAAGGGTCGTTCGACCCCCAAAGGGGTCACGATCCACAGGTTGAGAACCGCTGGTCTAGATCAATATGGCCTCCAAACTTCTGCCACCTGTTGTTTTGGATGCTAAGGTTTTCAGCCGGGCCTCAGAGTTTTGCAAACGGAAACAGCTCACCTATGCACTACCATTTTCTTCTTTAGATTCCATCTACAAGGCAGCTCTGCCAGCCATTGTGTCTGGGTTGGAATGGAGAGCCTCTGGAATAGCAGTGTCCCTGTGTGTGAACGTGAGTAGAAGGAATAACAGTTTAGGACAATTCCTCCCTTAACCTATTTAGTATTTTGACTTATGGCAACCCCAATAGGGTTCTTCTATTTTCTAATCTGAATTACTGAGAGATAATTGCTTTTTTAAATAGTATTTATTTGTGATCAGTTTGTTGTGATGCACGTTATTGTACATCATGTGTTTTGGGAACCGTTTTGTCTGTCTCTGTTATTTTGAATTCTTCGTTCTGGGTGATATATCCTGCAGCAGTTGGCCTCTAGATCAGGAGAGATTAAATAACATGAAGCTTTGACAATTTTCTTCCTTTCCTCTTTCTTTCCTTTCCTAATTCTTTCTTTTCTTTTTCTAATATCAGGATGTAACCACTCTACATTTTCTCTATCTACTGGCTAATATGTAAATATGAAACATGCATTCATTTGAACAACTATTTATTGAGTACATACTATGTGGTTGGTATGTTCCTAAGCACTGGATTATAGCAGTGAACAAGATAAGTGAATGCCCTGTCCCCGTGTTATTTATACGCCAGTGGGGAGATGGTCAGGAAAAACAATCAACAAGTAAATGTTATGGAAGTGACAGATCAGAGCAGTGAAAGAATGAGGGGAAAGTTGGGAGCAACATTACATGGGGTAAGCAGTTTAAGACGCCTTAAACTCTCCAAACACATACTTAAATAAATTATGTTGAAAGATTCAGAAGTAATAAGCTGATTAAAACATGAGTTTCCTGCCACAGCTAGGTGGCTCAGTTAGTTGGAGCATTGTCCTGTACACCAAAGAGTTGCAGGTTGAATTCCCAGTCAAGTCATATATCTAGGTTTTAGGTTCCATCCTGGTCAGGGTGTGTATAGGAGGCAATCAACTGATGTTTCTCTCACACATTGATGTTTCTCTCTTTCTCGCTCTCTCTTTCAATCTTTCTCTTTTTCTCTCTCTCAAATCAATGAAAACATTTCCTCAGGTGAGGATTTAAAATAAAAAAACTCTCCTATGTGTAGGGTCAATACCAAGTTCTCCTGTTCTATCCAATTATATTTTGCTCAATATGGAATACTATGCTGCTCTAAAAAGGAAGGAACTCTTACCATTTGCAAAGGCATGGATGGAACTGGAGAGCAGTATGCTAAGTGAAATAAGCCAGTCAATGAAGGAAAAATACCACATGATCTCACTTATTCATGGATAATTGAGACCATTATAAACTTTTGAACAATAATAGATACAGAGGCAGAGCTGCCTCAAACAGATTGTCAAACTGCAGCGGGAAGGCCGGGGAGGTTTGGGGGGCAGGGTGTAGGGGAGTAAGAGATCAACCAAAGGACTTGTATGATGCATATAAGCATAACCAATGGACATAAGACACTGGGGGATAGGGGAGGCTAGGGGACTGTCTAGGGCG